CGGGAAAACAAGAAAAGTCAACAACGGAAACACGGAGGCAAATAGGCCTTTTCCAAACGACCAAAAGACCACACCCCCCTCGCTGAGGATCCCCAGTGTGCGACGTGCCCCGCTTGTGAGTGTGGTTGAAACGCCACGATCTATCACGAAACGAGCTCCCTGGATACCCCGAGTCGCCTTCCTATATCAAACAATCGAATGCCTTGTATAAGTCGGCAGATGTTTCGTGATGAGATGAAGGAACGTTTGTTCTTTGCGACAAACCCTAAGGTATCGAATCAACAGTACAAATACTTAAAAACTGTCTGCTGCGCGCACTTGCTACCTTAGTGTCTGGAAATCCTGGACAACGTCTGCTTTTGAAAGGCCTTACATATGTCGAAGACGAATCATTATAGACGCATTTAACAGTTCAAGGATTCGGATCACAAATACGACATTCGTTTCAGTGCAGGCGTCGGCTGGTGTCACGCCATCAAGCGCCAGTTAGTCCTAGATCGCTTCTCCATCAGTTTCCCAGCGCTTTCCGTTCACTGCGAACCTCCATAGAGGGTAATCGAGAGTTTTGATTGGCCATTCGTTCATTTATTTCTCGGCGCCGGCGCCACTTGGGTGCGCCTGAGGGTTGAAGTGATCTCCAGACATAGCCTTGGCAGAACGCAGAGAGGTCACGCATTATGCGGCAGGGCACATCATTGGTTGGGGATTTTAGTCGACTCTATACGACCCCCCTTTTTTGGGAGTTGGTACGACCCCCCCCCCCCAGCCCTCTGTCCTTCCTCATCGAATCGAGCCGTCGAGCGGGGTACTACGCAGTACTAGTACGCATGAAACAGGAAAATCACCAAAAGTTAACCGTCACTCCCAAAACGTAAATACGACCCCCCTCCCTTTACAACGTCCATGAAGCGAGAAAAATCAACTATCAAAATAAATTTTTCTCAGCCCAAATACGACCCCCCTCCTGGCGACCAAATACGACCCCCCTATTGGGGATTCCCCAACAACGATGTGCCCTGATTGTGCGGTCTATTCTCGTCATGTGCCTGGTGCCTGGTTAGCATCGGAGCAGAAGTGGGAATGATAAAATATTCGTGATCAAGTTACCAGTTACATGCGTCGATCCCAGGCAATGTTCTCGTTCCCTCTCTCTAACCATCTGCACTCCGGCACGCTCCAGCAGAGTAATCCTGGTAGAGCGATCACTCCTAGCTTACCTCTACCAAACAGGCGCTGCCAATGAAAAGTCAATAGCATATTTGTAACTTGGACGTTCAAATACCCTTAGAAGCTAGTTTACTGTAAAATTTGGTGTGGCTGGCCGAGCAAACTATCCCATTGTCAGATTTCTCATAAAGATGCCTAGCAACCCCTACAGACAACGTTTCAGCCGATCATTTTGAGAATTTAGGGTAGTTGGTGGAATAGCGCTGATTATTTTTGATTTATCATCCAACGGCAAATTCAGTGTTTTTTTTTCTAGTGCTCCGCTTAAATCTGTTGCCGAGCGGGATCAGCGAGAAAGCGAAACTAAACATGAGAGCGGATGGGATTTTCAGCAGTGGCAGAGAAATGTGGCTGAATGCAGAAAGGTAAGTGCGAATCTCCGCCATGTCATGGACCTACTATCATCGTTCATTTCCAAGCAGGGTACATTATCGTGATGTGTGAGGTGCTGTTGTCAATACGATCCCCCTCCCCTCGAGGGAGTAAAGTGGGGGGGTCTGCGTATGACCCCCTTCCCAACACCTACCACTTTCCTACATGTACCCAACTTCCTACCGGATTCTTCGTGGAATTTCCTAAAAATTGCTACCTTCTTCCAAAAAATTTTCCGGCATGCGGAGTCCATTGAAATGGAAGAAAGAACAATTGGGAAGAATATTTTTCCCAGCGCGGCAAATTTCTCTCAGAGGCACATACGATCCCTGTCCCAACAACGACCAAGTACGACCCTGAGCCTAAATAACGCACTCCCTGCCCCCCCCCCCAACACACACACACACACGATGCTGTACCTGTTTCAACTCTTTTAGCTTTAACATTGATCAGTGACCCATGCATATGAGCACCGATTCGCCAGAATAACTGGCTATTGCGCCTTATAATATATTAGCCGCATCCCATTCAAACGTGCCGCTACATATAGAGGAATGGCAGAAAAGCAAAGGGGATAGAGCAGCGGGCTACTATACCATTTGGAAGCTAGTACCTTAAGCTGTGTATCTGTGAAATTTGGCGAACCTAGCCCCAGAAGAAGTTCTCGAGAAATTGAAAAGAAGCCCGAGTGGTGAAAATCGGCGCC